TAGGCACAAGGGTAGCCCCATGTAGAGTGCGTTACAGTAATCCAAACGTGAGGTTACCAGGGCGTGTATCACAGTTTCCAGATCCCTCATATCCAGATAAGGGCGCAGTTGGCGTATCAGCCGAAGCTGATAACAGGCACTCCTGACCACCGCATTCACCTGACTAGTCATGTGAAACGACGAGTCAAGGAGTACCCCTAGACTGCGAACACTGTCCTTGGAGGAGAGTGTGACTCCATCCAGGACTGGAGAATGTATTCCCAAATCTGGTTTCGGGCCTGTCACTGCAAGTACCTCCGTTTTGTCAGGATTACAATTTTACAAGTTTACAGATTACAATGTGTACAAAACATGGTTGCAGGAGTTTTGGTGTGATGGTGTGAACATATATGTGAACATAAGTGAACTTGTGATGTGATCATTAGTCCTGCCTTACATTCCATTTGCTTACAATTCATAAACTAGGAGTACATGGAAACAGCAAATAAATAACTACACAGTACTCCCATTTCTCTGCTGTCCCAGAAGCTTGATATTTCTTGCAGGTGAGCAGGCACAGCAGTTCCCATACACTCTAACTATCCTGATTTGGCAGACACAGTTTCAACCAATTAATTTTCTGTCATCCCATTTTTTCATCATTTTTTTTTAAATTCCAGTTTCTCTCTCCTCCTTTGTCCTGGTTTACTTCAGTTGCAGGAAGTTGAATTCAAAGTGCAAAAGGAGTTTGCATTCAATTACCGGTAACTCAGCAAGGGGGAAGAGAAGAAGAGAGCTGGAATCTTGCCCTTCCCAGTGGGATCAGGCAAAAGTAAACTGCTGCAGCTTCTCCTAGCTTGTGTGTTCTTCCTCATTAATAACTTTTCCCATGTTGAACACACTCTGATGTTGCTTGGCCACACATGTCCTGGTTTTCATCTGGGAAATGTTGGAGGATATGAATTACAGATAATAATGCAGCAGTCTGCACATGCTTCCCTGCTGAAGAACAACCAGAGAATCTAAAACATAGCTTGAGAGGAAAGCTTAAAGACTGCTGCACTTGCAGTTTATAATAACAAAGAGATGATTGGAATTGAATGAACTTGCTGGTTGTCTTCTCTCGGTTAGTAGTTTGTTTAGCTTGTCCTGCTGCCTCTGATTGTAAGCTTATGGAACCTTCCTTAAAGAATGATTCACTTCATAGTTTAGTTCAGGCTTGGTGGGACTCATACGGTCCTTCAGATGTTGATGACTGCAACTTTCAGCATTTCTCATTATTGATGATAATGATAGGGCAAAAGGGAATTGCAGTTCAATAGCATCTGGAGGAGTGCATCAGCCTGATAGGAAGGCAAAGACAAACACCGTCTGAACAAATCTTGCCATGGAAACCCCATGATGGGTTCATCTTAGGGTCGCCTTAAATCAGAAACAACTT